CACTCAACTCTGCTGGTTTATTTACTCCTGATGAAATTTAACTCTGACACATCTATTAATAAATGGTAGCATTTAAGAATTAAAGCTTTCAGTCAATTCTTAATAATATAGATCTCCAGAAATAGAAACATGGGGATTTGAGTGAAGCGAAGGACCCATGATCGTTGAGATGAAAGACTGTGTCTGTGTCTGGGGGTTGCCCCTTGCCTCGTGAGTGCCAAGGGTAAGTTGTTGACCCTCTCTGCACTACCCTGAAGCTTCTCTGGGTATAAAGGGAACTAATGTGCTCTAATCCCTCATGGGATTGTTGGATCAGAGTCTATGACTGGGCAAAGGTACAATATTGATATTATTATTATGGATTAGTTCTTGAAATGATCTTTTTGTTTCCTCCCCTTGTTTTCTAGTCAACAAGCACAAGCCATGGATTGAGACGTCATATCATGGAGTCATAACTGAGAACAATGACACCGTCATTTTGGACCCACCACTGGTGGCCCTGGATAAAGACGCACCAGTTCCTTTTGCAGGTGAGGCAATGGCTTAGTGTGGTTGGCTCAGCTCACTACGGGCATGTGCTGGGAAATCTCCAAAGGTTCCAGCCTAGGGCTTTATAACTATTGTCACCACGCTGTGCATCTCCTAGATCAGCCTGTGATGTTGAAGTTGGATACCTCTTCTTATTTCTGGTGTAGATTCTGTCTCTCTTCACGTTTTTTTCCGTCATGATGTTGTCATCAACATGAGACCCTTGTTTATTGTTTTTCTGAAGGGTGGTAAATTGCTGAATTCACCCTGGAGTTGCAAAAGTTGGGCTAGTAAGATTCTTAGGGGAGTTTTCCCCCTAAAGAACTTACCTACAGACATAATCAGGTGTGCGACCCACTGTCCCCACTACCCACATATCATGGATAGACAGAGACTTGTGGCTTGGTAAACTGGCTAAAGAAAAAGAGAAAAGGACCAGGAAATATTTGCTATGCTTGGGACAGGATCCTGCCCTTGAGCTTCCAAATAAGTGTGGCTTTTGGAGGGGATTCCAAAGTCAGTGCCATGTTACTCTCTGCATCTAATGGATAGAGAGCCTTCTTAGTGCTATCAAGACCATCTCTGACTTCCTCAAGGGCCAGGCCCTGAGAAGGGTAGGAATACAGGTAGGTCATGTGTTTCCATGGATTTTGGCAAAGAAAAGGGTCAAGTGATAGCAGCAGGGGGAGGAGTTGGACAAAGATTTCTGAAGATGCCTGCATCATGAGTAATATTGTTAACATTTTATAACTGTCAGGAGAAAGACAGGAAATTTAATGAAGGTTTTCAAGATTTCTGGAAGATTGCTTTATGATAGATGGGTGCCAGACTGAGGTTTTCACCATTATGAAGTCTATTTTCTCTGACAGTTTGTCTGTTACATTATGAGCTACTTGGGCAGAAAAAATGGGTTCTTTTGCACTTCTAAGAGATAAGCTCTGTGAAGACTCTTTTTCATTACAGAGCATTATAAAGTGAGGAGAGAACAAGTGGGTTAAATGGGGAAATCCAGTATTATGGGCAGATAAACTCATAAGCATTGTTGCAGAGCATGGAGAAGATGCTCTCGACTCTCAGAAGAAGACTTTATCTTTGTTTTATGCAGA